AGGAATGTAGAGACACTCGCCTTCCTTGAGAATAGTCTCCACATAATCGGCGTCCATGAACCCCGGCCACATCTCTTCCCATTGCTCATACTCAGCAGGGGAAGTCTCGATAGCAGCCAGGTCCACCTTAGAGGTGTTGGACATGTCAATCTGTCTGCGAGTCGTTGGCAGAGCCCCGGATACAGGATCTGGTTCTGCTGTCTCGTCAATCGACGTGACCCATTCCTGACCCCGTGGATGGATCTGAGAGTCAGGCGTATGTGGTGAGTACAGCCGGACGTACTTGGTGCCCACGACCTGCGCGAGGATATTGTGGTGGGGGTCATGGTGGAGAGGGGAGATCGTCCACACGGGTCCGATCCAGGTGTTGATAATGGGATCGTTGGGGACGCCCATAAGCGAGCCTGCATCTGAATTTTGTTCGGCTATGTCATGCTCAACTGGTGCTGTTTCCGACTGGGGGCCATGCGGTGTTTCAGAGACCTGTGCTTGAAGCTTCGCCTCGCGCTCTCGCTTTTTCTTCTCATACACTGGTGTTCCAGGGTCTGGGCCCGGTGGGGTGATATAGCAGTAGTCTGGTACACTGACATCGTTGCGCAAGGCAGGTATTTGGGTGAGTAGATCGTGTTGCGCCATGTATGCTGTCTCTCCATCGAGGTTGGTGACCTGGGGCTGGTTCTCTGTCGCCCCAGTCGGGGCTAGTTTCCCTTGCCATATGTACTTGTCCACAAACTCTTTGAACGGCATAATCTTCTGTCCCCAGTTCTCATCGGTATACGACCTTCCCACCTCAACGGGGACCAATCTACGACCCCCAAATGTGCGATCCCACCAGTAGTTCCGCGAAGACCATGGACGCGTTGAAATGGCTGGCCAGTGTTCCATTGCATCTGTTATCACTAGCGGAGTGCGGATGTTTTGAATGTGGTTTTCGATGGAATCGAATGACGGTGCTGATAAACGCGGGATCGGATGTTCTAGATGGGGGTTACGGATCGCATTTGGAGGGAAGAGAGGAGGGGAGAATTTCCTGCGCTTCGCAGTAGGATATTCTGGGCCACTGGTATCATCGTATTCAAATTTTGAGGATTCTGTAGCTGCCTGTAGCGTGGACAACAAGGATTGGACCAGCTTCTCGCGGAGGGGGGCTCCAGACATGATCAAGACGTTATCAAGGATCGCCACGACGTCTGATAGCCATGGCGCGTCGGGAGAGAGCCTCGGCTCAGCTGCATTCTTTGTGTCATGAATGAGTTGTGAGACATCTAAATGCTGGTTTTCAAATCTGGCTTTGGAGATCAGACCGCATTTCGTGATGATGATGACGCAGGCCTTGACGATAGACGCGTCTGTGTAGAGTCGATGCCAGCAGATGTGCACATCCTTAAATGGGAAGGTGTGTAGTTTTGAGTTTGCAAGCTCAATCGCTTTCTCGGTGTCGTTGAAGAGAAGATCTTGGAGGTGAGGGGTGTCGCATTGGAGAATGGGGTCATCAAAGCTCGGCTCTGCGATAACGGACAACGCGTCACTCAGGACCGATGAAAGAGCCATGGCTGAGGGGAAAGGTGAAATCGAAGGTAAGAAAGAAATGAAAGAAAGAGACGCTATAAATTATTCACAAAGTAATCCCAACATATCCCCAAGGTATGGTGTTTGGGTGAATTCCTCCAACCGCGTTGGGGGAAAAAAAACATCCCACATCATAAACCTTCATTTTGGCAATTAAAAAAAGAAAAAAAAAAAAAAAAAAAAAAGAATACGCCAGCTTTCTATCTCCCATAGCATCTAATATGTCAGGACTAGGTTACTTAGAGTAAAACCAATGCCAAACATATATGAGAGTTATATAAATTGCAGGGGAATATTGAAAGTATATTGATGTTTATTATATAGTACACTTTGTTCATGATGAAGGGAGTTTTCTAATATACATGCTTCATTCAAGAAGGTCCATTACCAATTTGGGAATTCGAGACACACCTTCGCCTCTTTTGGCACTGACCGGAACAACACACACTTTGTCCTTCCAAGCCCTTTCATGACCCGATGGGTGTTCAATCGAGCCATCCTGAACACCAGACAGGTACTCCTGCAGAGCTCGGAATTGGTCTTGTGTATTTTCCAGGTCTGCCTTGGTTGCTACAACAAACCAAGGCTTCAAATGTAGAGGTGTCATCGCCAGGGGAGGCAGGGAGCCGTCGGGGTTGGTATTCAATACCGGGGCAGGCTCTCGGTCCAGTGCCTGTCTCCGATGACCACTATCCGAATTTTCAGTGAATGGGTTCCATTCAATGATGTCGTCTTCCTCGGTAGAGTCAGGATCCGCATCGCGCATTCGCTCGTATTCTCCAAGTTCGTGCCACAGTTTCTGGAGTTCCTGTACAGGATCGGCGAGACTGAGATCAACCACAAAGGCCAGAATTCCGGCTCGGTCAATGTGTCGAAGGAACCCAAGACCCAGTCCTCGGTCGAGATGCGCGCCTTCAACCAGACCCGGAATGTCCGCAATAGTAAAGTGTGTGCGACGGGCCTTCGACTCAACAAGAGGGCGACCCTTCATGTCGTCAGTGATGACAGTGCCGATACTGGGAGAAAGTGTAGTGAACTCCCAGTTTCCAATGCGGGTCCGACTGTTGGTCAAAGAGCGCAGAAGCGTACTCTTGCCGGCGTTCGGTTTCCCAACCAATCCGACATCTGCAAGAAGCTTAAGCTCGAAGTCGAGCTCTAGCATCATTCCGCCTTCACCGCGGCTTGCGAATTTTGGCCGTCCCATTACACGCGTAGAGAAGTGCGGATTCCCCAACCCGCCAATACCACCAGCAGCCAGAAGCATGGGTTTATCCATGGGTTTTGAAAGGTCTAGCCAGATCGGTGACTTGGGCTCCATGGCTGCTATATTCTGTCGTCGCGGGTATGATTTCGGGAACTGCACCATAAGGAAATCAGATGGCTTTGCGGCGGGGTGTAGCACCCAGCGATCGTGCCGGATGGGATTGAACTCCGCCTCTTCCGTTTCTTCAAATCCTTCTTCGCCTTCAACTTCGGGATCATCTGGATCCCTCCAAACCTCTTTTTCCTCTTTAGCAAGATATGACGCTTCTTCCGCCGCCTTGATGCGGTCCCACTCCACCTCGACCGGATCATAACGGCTCACCTCTCGCACCACGGTGCCGACAGGTACCTGAAGGAGGACGTCCTCGCCTCGTTTTCCACCCTTGCTTTTACCCTGTCCATTTCGGCCCCTGCTAGCTCTGATAATGCCTCTACGGGCTAGCTTGTGCAGACTGGTCAAGCCCTCGACGGTCTGAATGTAGATACCACCTCCACTGCCACCATCGCCGCCGTTCGGGGGTCCTTCTTCAACGTATTTCTCGCGCAGGTAGGCGACACAGCCATGCCCACCAGATCCAGCATGTATTTTGACCCGGCATTTATCTTGAAAAATGAACCTTGAATAATCCTCCGGAGAAGGGTCCAAATGCGACAGATCTGGTGTTGCTTCGTCAGGTACGGCATTTTTGCTGGGCTGAGGCGGTGTTTCAGGGCCAGTACTGGTGCTCTGGAATCGGCTCCGCGCGATACATGGTTTTTGGAGGTTTTGTAGGAATAATCGGTTGCAACGGGCTCGTCTTGGGAGGAATGGTCGTACAGGAAGGGAAAAATAGACTCGTGGATGCGCCATGATGTGTGATTGGTGGCTATATCTCGCTCATTCTGCAAATGCAGCTGATTCAACTTTTGAAATAGTTCGGTTAGGATTGAATCTCCATAGGACGCAGTTATACCAGTCTTCAGTGAATTGTCGACAGACTGAGTTATGACTTCAGCGGATTTCTCAAGGTCCTGATAAGATCACATGGAGATAAGCCATTTATAGTATCCCCACTGAGTGCAAGATATTTGCCTATAGTATATCTCTCTCAAACGTCTCCATTTTTGCCTCTCGTCTTTCCTAATCCAACCTGTGTCCCGTTTTTACATTAAAGCTCATATACAGAAAATTCTCTTGCACAAAGTATGCTTCTTACCGCGCTCGCACACATATACAAAGACGGTTAAAAGGCATCTAAAAGGAATATCAAAAAAAGAACAACCAAAAAGACATGACAAGGCTGCATAACTGGCCCGGCCGAACATTCTTGTATCCATAAATGAGATATATAAGTGTCATGCAGCACAAACCTGACTTGATATTCCGGAGGATTCACCGAGGACAAACAAGCCGATCAAGGCAATGCACAACCCTGCATCTTACCGTTTGCTCATTCACCGGATCCCTACATTCCAATATTAAAATACATGAGCCATTGGTTTTCCACATCTGATCTATAGGGTCATAACAGTTACCCGTGTTGCATCTGTGTGTGGCCGCTGTGACTCCCCGATCCCGTGACGAAGTGCCCAATGAACAGACCCGGACTCTACTTGAGTGGACTAGCTCATTTCAGTCTGGTCTGATTGCGACTTGACTCTTTGTCTAGCTTTCACCAATTTGTTGTCGAGTTGCTGACATGCAGTAAGGAGAGAGAAAAACGGTGTGGCGCCTTTGTTTGGTTTAATACGGTATTGCTGTTTGCTTTTTTGACCTGCCGAATCCTGAACGCCCTTTTCTTGAACTTTGATGTTACATGTATGTACATATAGTACTAGGCCGTAAAGGGCAATATCAAAACGGGCAGCATAAGTCGGTGAAGAATCGCGGGAGTCATCTATATGCATGCGTGGATCACTAGCATCACTATTACTCTGGGACTGGTCGCAGCATCTAGGTCAACAGCAATGTGCGAAGTTTCTCCAATAGCACCAATACAGTCATCAAGATCGACGTCCTCGGCGGTCAGCACATTCGTCTACCGGCCTCGTGTTCATCTCGCCTATATTAAAATCGATCACGAGACTTTCAAGATCACCACCAAAACCTGCTTCGGCAAGACAGATACTGAGCGATTCACGTTCAACATGACCTACACTGCTGTACAGGCAGACTTAATTACGTCATGATGCAGCAGAACCAAGAGAAACTAGACACGATATTCAATGCCCTCACCCAAGACAATCTCGACAAGCCTCAACAGAGCTTGGAGGAATTCTTGAAGGAGCCTGGTATTTCTCAGAAAACTGTAAGCGAGCACTTCTAAGCCACAAATTACTATCATCTTTGAATGCATCTCAGGTTTTTGTGTCTCTTTTATTGCCGAAAGTTGCCGGTGATCAGTTGATCGATGAATCCAGCCTTTACCGAAACACAAATGAAAGCAAGTAATGCACTAGTCTGAAGGAACTATTGTTTACCGGTTGTGGTTACATGGAGTTTAGAGCTACCAAAGAGGAAATGTCTTATCAATGGGATTCGTATTAGGCAACCGACAAACAAACAACTATCGTCATGATAACTTAGGCTTTGCCATCACTAGCCTCCTTCAGAACAGTCTTCCATTCAAGCTCATCGGGGTCATCTGCATGAATCGATGCTTTGGTATCGAGGAATTTCCGCAGTTGTTCTTTCGTACTAGCATAAATCATTCGAACCTAGAATCATAAGATTGGCAAGAGTCCTAAAGAAAGGGATCGTCAAATGGTGGCATACCTTGGTTGATGTTTCTCTGGGAACCCAAGTGATGAAGACGATTTTGCTTCTATAGCATGTTAGATATTAACCCAAAGCCGAGATCCAATGACGATAATCTTACCTTTTCCCCTCCAATCCAAGGTCATATTCAACATCATAAACCGCATAACGAGGGGCAGGGTTCCCTTCAGTGTCAACTGCGGAGACCAGCTTTTCGCGAAAGACCTCGTAGTCTTGCTCAGGCGAACTCTCCTCTACAACAACGGTGTTGTAGTCATCCGTAATTTTGTAAATGATGAACCTGGGCTTTTTTGAGCTCTTTTGGGACCTGAGTGCCCTAAAGGCAGTGATGCAGTCATCTGCAATGGAGACTCTATATCATGTTGTGTTTTAGAAATTGTATCTTTTCAAACGTTGATGGATTTGAAGTCATATTCATACCCCGACGGAAGCTAGATAAATATCTATCAGTTAGAAAATCAGAGGTTGATTGCTTGGACAGGACCACTAACCGACATGCTTCAAGCTGAGGCGGAATTGATAGATAAATTGAGGACGGTCATCAAGTTGACTTGGTGGGTATGATTGCGCTCAATTTAAAGCACTGTATTAAGTTGCTGCCTCTAAGGCATAAGTATACAAGGATAAGGCCGCGTGTCCGAGACTCATTTTCCCACCAGTCTTCATATTTCAAGGTAAAATATAGACGGCTGGCCTTTGATATAGGCTACAGAGAAACTTGTATAACTCTGGTCATCAAAGCAATAGAGTGGTGTGCTCGGGTAGTCGGCCCTCAAAGAAAGGTGCCTGCCTAATATTGTAGCTAGCTATGCGAAGTAGATGGCGCAAAATAATTTGTAACTTGCTCTCAGCATTTTCTTTTTCTCTCAACCTTGTCTTTTAATTAGGCCGAGCATCCACACAATGGTCAATTTTTCAAACGTTGAGCAGATAATACCGCTAGATCTACTTATGCCAAAGGTCTCCGTCTCGGCGCCTTCGACATTTTCAACTTCCTGCAAAATTGAAGACGTTGTTTTATGGCATTAATATGGGCAATCGGGATGGAAAACAACTTGGGGAGAGCTTTGGCAGGCATATATCCAGCGGCAAGCTCTGTATATGCCTGAATCATCATCCTTCTTGACCTACAACCCCCAAGAAATGATTACAGGGACATCATCTTTTGTTAGCTTTTTTCGTGATTTAAGGCAGTTGTCACATTTGTAAGTATTCGTTTTCGCCGCAGAAGTCATGTTTGAATTTGTCTGCCTGTCAGAATCTGCTACGATCACGATTACATTTATCTATTTGGATTTAATTTCGTCATAAGAACGCGAGATACATGGACTTGCATATCCTTATGCGCAATCCCAGTAAACAACAGTAATACTCGAAAGTAGGAAGTAAATACGACACAGTTTGAGACCACGGCAGTGAGAGGTATCCGAGCTTACCTGGCGGATGATTTGGAATTTGAGATTTGGAATTGAAGCCAGTCCAGCGCAACTGGATAAGATTACATCTTCGCGGTATTAACTAATGGCATATACGGAGCAAGGCGTGTAGTGGATGTATCATCCAGGATGGTATTATGGGGGTTGATTGGTCCGTTGGCCCTAGCTCTCATGTCCAATCCATCACAGGCAGGAATCTGTGATCCGCTGTCACATCTAGGATGTACATGCTAGGAAGGCGATCACATCTTGGCTTCGGGCGGCAAGCAAAAGTACTAGACAGGTGAAGTGTGTTGTACTTTTGCTGGGAGGTTTAGTACTCGAAAGTTATGCAGGTTTTATATGGAGTACTTCGTACCTGGACTCTATCTGGAGATGACGATCAGTGGCGAAACTTTAGAGTTCGTCCGCAGTTCAGTAAACTTTCCGGATGTAGGTGTTCATGCATAGGGTCTGGTTGTTGGGACTAAGGCTTGATATCGTATTGGATGATCTATGGAATTGACTTTTAGTAGGCACTTTACATATTAATTAATAATATGTACGGGTCAAATATCAAGGGTTATATACTACGTATGGAGAAATTGCTTTACAGGCTCAACGCTCTCTGGATATCATTCTGCGGTTTGTGTGGGGCGATTATTTGTATAATATCTGTCCGGAGTACGAGTAGTATCGTCTTATTGAAGCAACTGAACATTCAAAGCATCAAAGTTTCAGCTTGTCGTCAACAACGAGGGCCGTACAAAGCAGCCGACTAATTTTTTTTTTTTTGGCTACTTGCGAAATAATGGTATGGAGTCTATCAAACAGGAGTTGTCGCTTAAAATCGAGGTGCAACAAACACTTTTGACACTTAGTTTTATTTGAATAGAAGTATTGATTCAAGTAAAGTGCAGTTAAAGACGAGAAGATACTGTTTAGTTATTGGTTGGCTTCGAGGGTTATCAATGTGCTGAAGGTGCGAGGTTCATCTGGGTGCAATTTCCAAATACAAGATATGTTGCAGGACATAACAAGTGTTGGATAATCGACGAATCATCAGGCAAACAACCTTGACATTTCCGAATGATATCACTGAGCTTCAGCTTTTAATTAGGTTCATACCACCGCAGAATCCACCGTCTACAAGAGGTAATACTACACGTGACTACTATGAAACCAGCATTCTTCGGCGTCTAGACCGCTGCAGGGGAATCAATCTGGATCACATCAGAGAGTTCAGAGTAACTAACTAGGTACGTAGTACATGAAGTAAGGTGACAAAGTACGTAGCAATTGTACGTATCCATCTGAGAGACCAAAAGTCCGCGGAACTCGGCTGCCCGGTACCTTGCGGGGGGCAAAATAAATTAATTAAAAAGAAAACTAAAAAAAGCCCCATTTGAAACAAAGAAAAACGGAATAAAGGATTCAAAGGAACAAGAATGTTCACATGATCACAAGTAGAATCGATAGTGTAAAAATCCTTGCGAAAGACGAGATGTGATTCGTGTCCACTCGCGGAACTTTTGTATTGTACCCGTCACCGCGGCACCGGATCCCTACCTTCCGCTTGCCACAGGTGGGGATAAGGGCGATCGTTCCTGTTGGTCACAGAAATAGAAAAGATAAAAGAGATCAAACTGTAAAATGGGTATTCCGTATAATACCACACATTCTTTACCTTAGCCCCTCTTGGGAGAAATCTCGGGAGACACTAATGTACTCCATATATCCTTAACTTAGTACCGTGGAACTGGACTTGTAATTCCATGGTTTGTCCAGCGGGGACCCCGAGAAAAAGGGCAACTTAGAGACTTTATTGGTCCGCGGACTTCCCGTTCAGCTGCCGGACCAGCGCCAGATTTCAGCTTTTCTCGGGACACACAACTATGGAGTAAAAGAGACACGCAAGGCGGCTAGCCTCTAGAGCCAGCTGGGTCCGAATGTTGACTGTCAAAATTTGTACATCGTATGCATTATGCATGAGTACTTTGCTTCGGGTACGCTTTGCCGATTTTACAAAAGTACACCTGTCACTTACTCTATGCAAGCTCCAAGTAGTCTCAAAAACAACCTTTAGAATTTTAATCTTCCCCAACCTTCCGGGATCTAATACAAAGCTATAGAATCTAGATCGGTAATTGTAAATGTGGCGCTTTCATGATGTCGAATGATGATCAGTCCAAACAATAAGATTGAACATTCAGCTATCCATGGATGTACAATGTAGTCCGTCGTATGTTATTTGTATGCACTCTCCAGCACTGCTAAGTAAGGTCTCACCAGTGTCTAGAATCAAGGGTAGCAAAAGTCTGAGATGGATACTCCGTAGTATGATGTCCATTACCGATCTCCAAAAAGAGACAGGCAAATTCATCATGTAACCGGTCGCGAGCACACTTAGCGCAAGATTCCAGATCAGAAGCAATGCAATGGGAGGAATGAATTGTATTGACGCTCGGCATAGAAATTAACCTCAAAACTTTGCTGTCTCGATCGATCGGGGGAGCTGCAATGAAGGTACGAGTTTCCCATCCAAAGCATATCCACACCCCCTACGGAGTACTTTGTGCACATCGTAAGGACGGCACGACCGGTGGCGTTTTTTTTTTGAGATAACAAGAAATGAAGTCTGATTCTGATTAAAAATAGGGAAAGAAACCTGCATTTATCCGACTCAAGCGGGATCGCGATTGCAATGGGCCTGAAAACAGTAGAATCAGAGCGATCTACAATGTACATCACCTACATTGATGTATGTACAATTTTTGTACAACCATCGAGAGGGGCAAGTTCGCTTGAACCCTTGTTTTCGCCCCAATGTAATGTGTATGCCCCTTTTTCCTTATTCCAATTGATTTACATGTCATCGAAGATCTAGATTTTTTGAGTGACGGAATTCGGCCCACTGGAGTCACCCCGAAAGTTGATACATCACACAACTGAATTTTCTTCCCGTCAGCCATCACGGCACAAAGGAAGGCCGCACCAAAAAAGTTTAAGCACCCCAGCCTCTGGGGCAATTTTGCCCGAGGTCTTTGCCCAATTTAGAATTTAGACAGGTCCAAAAGAAAGCTTTCCGATATGCCAGGAAGCATTTTCCGCTTGACTTGGAATCATTTTCGTCCTCTGATTGCCCCTCAGCAATCAGCGCCACGCTTCAGCGATTCGGGACCTTGCGACTGTCAGAACCCGACAATATGGTGCGGCTGCGGTTCTGTGTGGATCATGGACCCTTGTGTCTGGACTGGGATGGGTTAGCGTTATCTGTAAAAAAAAATTAATAACAATCGACTGGTCTATTATTCAAAAACGCGGCTGTATCCGTATCCTTAGGGTATCGTATCTTGCTAGGTTAGCCAGGTTCATGGTAGTCGGATCTGGGGGCCGACAAGCCCCTTTGATCATCGGTGTGGCGGTCTTGAAAGCGGGAGTGTAGGATCTGGGCGTCGTGGCTATGCGATAGACAAGGCAGAGACAGTGTGCTATGGAAACTGAACCTGCCCCCTTGCTATTGGTCTCGATCGGGAAGTGTTGAGGCGTATTATTCCGACGTGATGCAATATCTTGCTCACATTGGAATGAAGGAAATATCAAGGGCATTATAAGGAATGTGGTAGAAGTTGGTATATGATCGCACGTGAAATTAAGCACGAATCAAACCGATCGAAGTATATCATACCCAACGCTGCGACCAAGCAGGGCGCGGTGAGATCTCCCGAGGTCGGAAGATCCAGCGAAACATATCTAGGGCATCGTCATGAAGAAGTCGGTGTCATGAAGCATGACTTTCAACTGTACGGCGTTTGTTGACTTGTGACGCGCTTCACCGTCTTTTTCGACGCTCTTTGATTTTGGGCAATAATAACCGCGGAGGTCTGGATATCGATATGGGCCACATGCGCAATGGCGGTCCAAACCGCAATGGCTATCGAAAATCCTCGACGATCATAGTCGGACAGCTTACCGGCGGTGCAGACGCAAATGACGGGGCTGTGAGAACAATACCCATGTACCGAGTCACTCATGACATGGGATGCCAGGGACGAGTACCCGAGGGAGAATTTGAGGCGAGACGTCAAAGGATCTTCTGCAGCAGATAATGAACATGAATGCAGCCAAGAGACACACCGCTTGACACCGGTTATTATCAGACCACGGTGGTTGTTGATGCAGACAGGGTCACACTCCTGCTGTATATTTCCCCTCCTCTCTTTCTAAATTGGCGAGAATCGGAAGAATAACTGGGCAAGGGTTCTCTCTACCCCACCATACATGGATGATTCGGTTGGCTGCAGGGTAGAAAAATGGAAGCTCCCTCACATGATCTCCGCCCCGATTTGAATCGCAATATGTATGAAACAAAGAGAAAAGTAACCTATAATTTCCGGCCGTTGGGTCGCAATCCTTCTTCCGAACAGTCCGAATGGATATCAAGGTAGACACGACTGTCGCTGACCGAGCTACGGCAGTGCGCAGTCGCGTGATGCATGGCATGGAGAGATGACGGGCTTTGTTTCCTGAACAACAGTCACCGCTACATCCGCGTCAAAACACGTCGGGCTCTTTCACTGTTGGGTTGCGACTCGCGTATCGGACATCTCAACCATTGTCATTGTTCAAGCGCTCCCACCTCCCTTGTAACCAATGGTCTCCCTCGATAGGAATGCATGCATTGCGATCGACGTATTTAGGTATTTCATGCATAGAAGGATTTGTCAAACACTCTGTCAGACCCTAGCAGCTTGTATTTGCACATTGTCAGCTGGGCACGGTCTGCTCTCTAAACAAGTAACATTTATATATTTACTGTCCAAGCACCGAAAGCAACATCATGATCTGGCATCTTGTATGACTGGTTGTAAAAACAAAAAGTCAAGGGGAATTTTACAGGTTGCAGGAGCCCCAGTCGGGTTTACAATGTCTTGCTCACACCGTTCCTTGACTTTCCTCCTTTGGCATATCCTAGTTACCAGGTGCACCCCTGAGAGGCTCAAGCCGCTAACCCATACTTTAGTATGACGTTTTCTTTATGGTTTTCTTTATGGTTTGTTTTTTTGTTTGTTTTTGTTTTTGTTTTTTCTTTTTTCTCTTATGACTTCTCACCGGCTTTTTACCCACTCCCTCGCGTGGCCCCAGACAACTTTTCTGTCGTACAGGAGAATAAGCCTAGCGCATCACTTTTTTTTTCTCCTACGGAGTACTCCGTATATATAAGGTACATACAGAGTACATATGTACGGAGTAAACATTGTGTTGAATACAAATAATGGTCCCACTTATTCCCAGCCCCTTGGGTCTCATGCAGTCCCTTCTTGTTGGGTCGGCACTTTACCGACTTTTGGGTAGATTCCACTTGCCTTGAAAAGTCAAAAAAAAGTACATATGGAGTATAGAATACAGAGAGCAAGAATGTAAGTACGGAGTAGTTTGAGCGGAATTGCGGTTCAGTTATCCACTTAACTTCGCCACAATGGCTGGTGTCTTCTAGGACAGTTATAAGGGGGGAAAGGGGCGGCATTGTTTTCCCCTGTCGCCGATCGACGCCTAACGGCCAATAGATGGGGCTCGGGAGTGTCGGTGAATTTTTGACAAGCTCAGCTGATTCTCCGAAGTCTTCTCGAAGGTCTCAAAAATCAAAAAAGAAAATCCACATCATACAAAGTAGTGCCTAGAGAGTATATTTTACTAGTACGGTGTGTATTCTACCTTGACTGGATGGTCATCGGATCCCCGACAGTTTCAATAGCTTCTTTTTCTATACCGGTTCAACTCCATCGGCTCCATCTGTACTCCGTACTCCGTACCGGGATGGTGGGATTAGAGAGAAACATTTTGAATTTTGAGTTCTGGGGGACTTGAAAACGGTTTTTGTGACATTCAACAATGAGACAATAGACGGGATGGCGCTCAATATTACCCAGGGTTTCCCTTTGAGACGGTACATCGTACACCGCATCTTGTTCCAGTTGTATATCCTAAACATGGTTCACCTATATTTCGACCCAATCAGCTGGTTCCCAACTTATTAGAAAAGTACGGATTCTCCTGATCATCCCGGCCATCTGGGAAGAGTGGATAACCTGTTAAGTTTCCCTTTTCGATAAGTGGAGAGTATGACGATATGATGTTTGGTCTTGGTTACAGAGTACGAAGTACACAGTTGTAGATACGGAAAAGGAGAAGGGGAAAAAATTAAAATTAAAATTAAAACAATTTTAATTCCCTCTTCAATCTGACCCTTTTTTTTGGTCTCCATACACAAAGTACGGAGTAGGTTCATACTATAGTATATAGGTCTCGGGGAGGCGCAAAGATACCGCGGAGTTATAAGGCGAGATCTATCATCTCACTAATTTGCACTAAAACCACAACTCTGGGAACAAAAAAATCGATCTTCCTTACCTTACGCCATACGGGTGAAGTATCATTTAGCGCCTCCTCCTAGGAGACTAAGGATAGGCCTAATGCCGTTCCCCGGGGGCCCGGTGCTTAGGACCGTGGGTCTCGAGGAAATCATTTTGGTATCAGTCTCTTTTTTTTTAAAAAAATTCTTTTTTCTTGTTGGATCTGGGGGATGGATCTGTCGAATCAAAGATGGTACTTAAACTTTCTTTTTTAATTAGGTATTTATTATATTTCTGTGCTAGTGTTACAATTCAAAATCCGATCTGATTGATCCCCATTAGAACATGTTCTTTTTTTTTTCTTCCTATAATATTTGCTATTTCCTATTTCCTATTTCTGATTTCCCTCTTAGAATTCCGGGACAATATGTTCCCCGAGTTAAAAAGGTAAATTCAAATAAATCCAAATAAAATACGTCGAATAAGTCAAATAAGTTAAATACACATTCAAATATATCCAAAAAGGATGACGATGTACCGAGTTCTTCCCATTGGTTCCACCCCCTTTCCTTGCCTCCGGGGGGATTCTTCCGCTTCCCCCTACTCTTCTTAACGGAAATGTCAGGTTTCTACCTCAGATCCACATAGAATAAAGGGTTTTATTTTTATTAATTGGAAAAAAAAGAGGTAAAATATATAAAATTAAAATTAAAATAATAATAATATATTATAATATAATTACAATTACAATAATAAAGAAAATCTGACCCACTTCGTTCGTCTTTATCCTGATCCAATGTTTGCCAACTGCATCCTGTACAGCTGTAACCGAAATGTTTAGTTGTGATGCTGAACGGTTGACGTTTTAGTTCTTTGGCGCCTGATCATTTCTATAGACCTATCCACTGTCAAACTTCTTATTATAATAGCTTCCCCTTTCCCATGGTTTTTTCTTCTTCTTTTCCTTGGACTTTCTTCTATCTACTACCATCTTCACTCTTGGGTTTTATACATCCTTTCCATCTTCAGAACCTCCGATCCTCTTCAATAAACTCTCCGGACTCCCTTGCAGGTGTCTCATACGCAATCTTCCACCCTACCTTATCGGATCTTGATAGACATTTCCAACCGCAGGGGGAGCAATGCTGAAGCCCTAAAACCAAAAGACGCTGCTCCTTGCTCCAATTACACTATTACATTCTCTCCCTTTTACACAGGACTCTGGGGAAATTAAGGAAACAAAAGCACCTTTTATCTGGTACTTTGTTCCTGCTCTTATTCTTTTTTCTTTTTTTTTCCCTGAGCTATACAATCTAAAAGGGAAGCGGGGTGTCTTGAAGCCTCTCTCTAAAATCCCCTTTTTGTCTGCTTTCAGCCCTTTTTCGACCTTCGACCTTTCTCTCTCACCTTCATAATGTTTCAACGACCGGCCTGTTTACAGGGTCGACGCTCCCGCAATGGCTCTGGTGATGACTTCTCGACATTCCCAATTCGGCAACTATTCGTGTTAGGTAAGTTCTGGTACTTTTGTTCTACGAACTATGAAAGAAACCCCCAAGCAAAGATATGGTTACCGCAAAAGGCGCCGCAAACCACCTCTATACAACCGATGAGTGATCTTAATTGCTGACGAATGCGATGCAGCACTCGTCCGAATCTGTGAACCGATTGCTTTCATGTCAATTTTCCCATACGTGTATCATATGGTCGAATCATTCCATGTGACGGATAACGACCGCCAAATCGCCCTATACGCCGGCATGATCACCTCCTCATTCACCTTCGCTGAATTTTCGGCGGGCATGTTTTGGGGCCGCATGAGTGATCGGATTGGTCGTAAGCCAGTTCTCATCATGGGCCTCGTGGGCACGGCCATCAGCATGGTGGTATTCGGATTTGCGCCCAACCTGGCCACGGCGATGATTGCGCGCGCGCTGGGCGGCATGTTGAACGGCAATATCGGGGTCCTTCAGACGACAGTTGCGGAGATCGTCACGAAGAAAGAGCATCAGCCACGAGCTTATTCGATCATGCCTTTCGTGTGGTGTCTGGGATCGATCATTGGACCGGCTATGGGCGGCGCTTTGGCCCAGCCCTGCGACAACTACCCGGCCCTCTTCGCGCGCAGCACGCTGTGGGATAAATTCCCGTTCCTGCTGCCCAACCTCGTCTGCATCACCGTGCTGGTTTGCGGCATCGTGGTCGGTTTCCTGTTTTTGGAGGAGACGCACCCGGAGAAGAAGCACCGTCGTGATCCCGGTCTTGAACTCGGCCACTGGTTGGTCAACCTGTGCTGGGGCTCGCGCGTACAGCTTCCCGATCATTCCGACGTGGACGTCAAGGAAAAGTACTTTGATGCACCGCCTGGATACGAAACTGCCGAATCATCGCCTTGCCTGCGTCCCGTTGATGACGGCGCCTCGGCTGATTGCGACTTGGAGGGGCAGAAGAGCCCCGCGCCCAAGGCCTTTACCCGACAAGTCATCCTCGCTATTGTGGCTTACGGCATTCTTGCATAGTGAGTTGGCTCTCCCTTTCCCCGCTGTTCAACGCCACACCCTTCTACCCGAATACAATTTAAACAATTTACTGACATGCATTGCCCTCTTTCAGCCACAGTGTCTCCTTTGATCAGCTGATGCCAGTTTTACTGAGCACACCGAGATCCGATGATGATGTAG